TTTAACCTTCCAGGCGTAGACTGGGCCCTTGGCAGACTTGATTGTTGTGATTACCTGACAGAGAGCAAAGCTTCTTGGTTTTTGCCACTTATCAACTTTTATGGTCTTTCACAGCACAATAATCTAACGAATGCTTCTGGCAATACACTTGACTTGCTTTTATCAAACTTCCCTGTTGGCGCGATAGCGTCTTCGTCACACCCCTTAGTGAGGGTCGATGCTTATCATCCGCCCTTTGAAGCCGAATTTTACTTGCCATGTTTATCGCGAGAACTATCGAAATTCATTTACTGTTACGAAAAGAGAGATTACTTCAGCATTTACAGGCATGTAGAATCACACGCGTGGTCTGAGCTATATGATTCCAATGACTCAGATTTTGCAGCACAAAAATTGACTTCGGTATTGAAGGAAGCTATCGAAGAGTATGTGCCTAAAAGGCTCGTTAAACCGAGGAAATTTCCGAGCTGGTTTTCGAGGGAATTGAAGACTGCTCTGCGTAAAAAGACTCGTTTTCATGGTCTATACAAGAGAACGTGTAAACAAGTATGGTACCAAAAGTTTTCCAACTTTCGTTCCTTAGCTAAAATATTGCTTGCACGTGACAAATACGTCCACGAAAGACATGTTGAAAATAGTCTATATTCTGATCCCAAATCTTTCTGGAAACACGTAATCACCAAACCGCATTCGTTTTCACAACATTCATCTCTGCGCTCTCCTAGTAACGATGATACTCATTATGTTACATCGCCAAAAGACATCGCTGATGAGTTTGCCTCGTTTTTTAGCAGCTGCTACTTACCGCCCATACATTCGGTGAAGTCAGATCTAATCAATGATCCCAGTGATGGGGACTCGCTCTCCCTGTTCAGTGTTGCTACACGGGACGTTGAAAAGGCGATTAAAAAGCTCAAGCCGAAATCGTCAGTGGGCACTGATGACATTCCACCATTTATTATTAAAGGATGCTGTGGGCTTCTAGCGCCAATTTTAGCCCATATTTTTAATGTATCTTTGCGTACCAGTATGTTTCCAGCGATATGGAAGGAAGCCATAGTTGTGCCCATTCATAAAGCTGGTGATGCTGGTATTGTATCAAATTACCGTCCTGTGTCACTACTGTGTGGTTTTGCTAAAGTATTTGAAACCATTATGCAAGAATGTCTTTTCTCTCATTTATCTAAGTATCTGACGCTGCAACAACATGGTTTTATTAAAGGGCGCTCTGTCGAAACTAACCTTTGTACTTTTCTACACAACGCAGCCCCGGTCGTTTCAAACCGAGGGCAGGTTGACTCGGTATATTTCGATCTTACAAAGGCTTTCGACAAGGTTGACCATGCTTTGCTTGTACATAAATTGAAACAATATGGTTTCGCCCCTAAACTTTGTGAATGGGTTTATAGTTACTTGTCATCGAGGAAAAATTTTGTTCGAGTTGATACTGTTTTATCTAATCCGTTTTTCCCAACTTCAGGCGTACCCCAGGGGTCAGTGTTGGGGCCACTGTTGTTCCTGGTATTTATAAACGATATTTTAAAGTGTGTAAAGTTTGCTAAAGTGCTTTTATTGCCGATGACATTAAGTTATTCTGAAGTATTTGTTCTGAAAAAGATTGTGATGCGTTACAGTCTGATGTTTCGAGTATTTTGCAATGGTGCTCATCCAACCGTTTGCCTTTGAATATAAACAAAACTAAAGTCATCTCGCTAACTAGACGTAAAAATCCCTTACATTTTAAGTACACGTTGGGAAACTGTATTATTACTCGAACTGATATGATCAGGGACCTCGGGGTGTTAGTCGATTGCAAACTGACGTTCAGTTCTCATGTAACTACTATTTGTGGTACCGGGTTCAAAATGCTTGGTATGATCTCCCGTTTGACTCGGCACTTCCAAGCACCTGAGGCCATATTACGTTTATTTTGTGCTCTGGTCAGGCCCAGGCTCGAATTCGCTTCTGTCGTGTGGAACCATTTAACGGAGACTGAATCTAGACGTATTGAAGCGGTGCAAAGGCGTTTGGTTCGCATAGTCTATGATCGATACTTCCACAGGAGACTTTACTTCGACCACCATTCTCTGCTTAAGATTTTGAATCTCAGCACTTTGGATGACCGAAGGCATTGCCGAGATGCGGCTTTTCTACAAAAGCTTATCCAGGGTGTAATTGACGTACCTGACCTTTTGGACAGCATAAAGTTACGTGTGCCAACGAAATTCACGCGACAGTGCGACATGTTCTACCCCGACATGCGATTAAAGGAGTCACCAATCTATCGTATTCAGACATCATGCAACCTCCTTGTCCAGCACGATTTTTTTTTTCATGCCTTATTTTACCTTTAACACCTGATGTGTATTTTATGTACTTTGTTACGACTGTTTTATTATGCTGACTGTTCTAATATGACTATTGTGGTTTCCATGTTTGCATGTTTCATAGGAATCTGACTTCTTTCTGTGCACCAATGTCAAAACCGTTATGGTGTTTTTGGGCACGCAGTAAATAAATATCAATCAATCAATCAATCAATCAGTGAACAGCGAGAACTCATCCGCTCGCGACCGCGTGACCACGTGCTGGCGGGCGCCGCGCAAACAATATGGTGAAAGGAGGAAAGCCTCATCCGTGTCCGGCCATACCCGTCCGGCCCTGTCCCCTTCCCCCTCCGGCTTCTGGCGGCTGTTCGCAGTAGCAGATAGAGCTGACGGTTTTGTGGACCTGGAATAGATGGCGCCACTAAAACTCCGTATAATAAAAGTTTTGTCGGTGATACTAGGTGTTTGACGCATTTATATATATATATATATATATATATGTGTGTGTGTGTGTGTTGGAACGACAAGATTTATAGAAAAGTTGTCTCCCATCAAGCAGGTATTCGCACAACTTGCTATCTTTCTACAAGATTCCCCGTTGACTTCATGCCGCGCGTTTCTCATGGCCGCCGCTCGCGGCTGCAGGTCGGAGAATATTCTAACTTTTGCCTCGCTATTACGCGGCAGAATCGCAACATTTCGATGAAAGGAGGTGTGTTTTCTGTCATTTGTGACAAGGTGAACAATGTCAAAAGCTGAAGATGCCAATTCTTTCAACGTTAAAATCGCTGCACAGCTCCTTTAAATGAAGAGGGGCCCCTACGCAGATAAATGTGTTCCCAAACGAGAAAAGCGTCCCCTTAGACATAACAAAAAAAAACTAAATTGTGCTTAAGAACAAGACAAAAAGAGGAACATAACTAACACAACAGTCTTTTTTGTTGTTTTCTTGTGAGCAGTGGCATTTAGATTGTATGCGACATATATTTTAATTAAACGTTAAATTTTCAACGAATGTTCATTCGATGGATTTGGTTAAAATGAATAAGAGCAAGGCATCCACTCCCTTTGCGCCAAGACTCAAGCTGGTAAACTTGGGAAGAAATAGTCTCAACTGAAATTCCGAAAGTATAAAGTTTCAGCGTCCAATTTGTTTCGAGCCATTTAAAGTATGCTTATTTTATAGATAAGCAATAACTCAAAATGGTCAACGAACATAAAACTCCAACTTCCATCGTAAACCGGAGACACGGAAAAATAAAAAAAGGACAAAACAACAACAAGTCTCAACAAGTCTTTTGTCCGTTTTTTTTTTTATTTTTCCGTCTCTCCGGTTTACGATGGAAGTTCTTCACCAGCTCGCCTGTGCTTTTACCCTTTCTTCGATAAAACTCCAAGCAAGCTGATAGGTTCTAAAGGTGACCTACCATGTTCGTTCCTTATCTTCCTTCTCTTGTGAAAATAAGTGTTTCGCCGATCTTAATTATGCATGTTCCCCAAACACCTCACGAATATTAAAGCGGTATGCTTTCCATTGAATATTTTTATTAGTCGAAAACCTGAGGGGTGCGGGGCACTGATGAGGTACCAAGATATTACGCTTCGTCGATTGCTGTTTGGTGTTGGATTACAGTGCGGTATGCAGGCAGTACCTGAAAAATGTGGCGTTATGTGCAAATCACTGCAGTTTTAAAAGTGGAAATGTTACAAACACACTGCTGGTTCGTTGCCCAAGCCATTAAAATTAGATCATTGCGATGGTGTACTTGCCCCGGCGGCGTATTTGTAAACGGTAGGCGATACCCGGCATGGCTACGCCGCTCGCGTCAAACGGGCTGCTCCCCCTTTCCCCCCCCCCCCCCCCTTTCGCGTTGACAGTCTGTGGAGGCTCATTCACGCGCCCTACGTTCAACCGGGGATGGAAGTGGGGATGTTAAGACGCGTCCCAGTGATATACGAGCAACGCCGAAGCGAAGCGACGCGAAATTGAGGCCCAGCCAATCCGGTGTGAGGGGCGTTGCCATGCCGCATATCGACTACCATTTACATGCACACGTCCCGACGTCAACTCAACTCAGGGTGCACTTAACACACTGCAACCCGCCGCCAAACCTTATCTCATCTCTTCAAAATAATATGCGAGGATGATGGCTTCATGGCACAAGATGTTACGTTATAATTTGGGACTTCTTTTCACCTGTCACAAGAAAAATACTTCAAGAATTTCTTGAATGTTCATTCTTGCACGACATTTTGTCTGCACTCTCAGAAAAAAAAGAGTATATTCTTTCACCCCTTATCCCATGTAAGAGACCCCGAAACTTCGGTTAGCTATTCAACGCACTGACGTCGTGACGACGGAAGCAACCTCCATAAGTGCCTTGATAGCCGAGCGGTACAACTAATTAAAATACCTAATGTACGTGTCACAGACTACCGAAAAGAATCGGGGCTTTCCCTACTGCAAAAACCTCAAGTTTTTGTTTCTTTTTTTTTTTTAGTTCTTGATACGTTGTTTAGATGATTAATAAGTCATCTCGCTCAAGCCCCTCGTAAAAGTTGGGACCGTGTGTTGAACTCCAGTGGGCGGTACGACGAACTGAAGTTTTAATACGTATTATATGTGACCAAAAGGGTGTAACACTACACCGTTTCTTTTTAAGAGTGTGGGTATCAACCATGAAGAACCCTACGCCTACTCCTAGGTAAGGCGAGGCCTTGACTTATCTCTACTATCTTCTCAATGATAAAAACTGTACTAGAAAGTATGATTCCACCCACCCACAGAACGAAACATGGACGAAGATCGCTCACTGTGATTGGTTCTTCGTCAGTCAGAGCTCTAGGCATCTTGAATTCACGTGTCCCAAACCGTTTATGATTGGCAAGTGATACAAAGTGTTTAAAAATGCCAGCTTCAAACGCTCGCGAAAAAAGATTACTTGTGGCGTTTCGGCAAGGAGAGTAAGTCCATGTTTGAGGTCCAGTAAGAACCTCATCCCAAACAGACTCTATGTAGTTCTTGCCGAGAAGTTGATCTTCGAAGTAGTCGGCGTCTTCGTATCCAGAGCCATAGATCAGATAGGCGTCCTTGCCGTCCTTTGCTGTCTTGATTCTGCCGGATGGTTCGAAACACTCTTTGTACCTCACGGTTGGATCACCTTCAACCTCTTGGAATAAAAGTCCGCCGACTCCATAAAGCCTAGAACCAGTATCTTGGATCTTATATGTTGTAGCTGTGATTGCCTCACCCGTAAGAGGGACATTTGAGAAAAGTGAAACAAGAGCCCCTTTGTATCCCGTGGCAAGTACAGTCGCAGAAAGAGCGCATGTTCCAAGAATAAATCGCAGCGAAAGAAACCTTTCAATCTCTCGAGAAGTGGGCGGCCCCTGCTGCAACAGCAAGGCTGCAAAGGGTAAAGCCAGAACATGAACATTTGCTTGTTTCTTATTTAGAAGCTTGGTAATTATGTAGCCAGTAATAAATAAAAACGAAAAAGAAGCCAACATTGCAAGCCAGACGAGCCAATCGAACGGCAAAAAGAGAACAGCTTCTTTCAACACGGGCTCACTGTCTCTTCCGTAAAAGTACACATTGGCGTTGTCATACGGGAAAGTAGTGGGCAATGACGGAAACAAATTCATTCCTGTGTATAGAAAGGGAAAGTAAAAAAGAGAACATGGATCACTATAACTTTCCATAAAACGCAGTAAAAATTCGTCAAGAGTATTTATCTTTGTGACATGAAACGAAGCGTTCTTTTGTTTGACTATGCTATCCAAAGCTTCCAATTTCGCTTTATCGCAAAAGTTAGGGTACTGGCAATTCATTTTGACTGCGATACCGTGGATAGAGCCATATTTAAGAAAGTTAATAAAACTTACAATCTGTGAGATTTTTAAGCAGTTTAGACACTGACGTTCTAAATTTTTGACAGCGATGATACGTTCCTTGTACACAGCAAAAACGAAAGCAACTCCATTCCGAATCATTAAAAATTCATCTTGCATTACTTCGCTTAAATGTCTTAAATCAGTGTAGTTATGTTCGTATCCCCAAATGTTATCAGCAATGACGTATAAATGCATTACGTGGGAATTCAAAAAAATTAAGTTATGAATATCCCACGCTGTTGATTTACAAAACACAAGCACAAGGGCGCGGTGGTCCTCATTCACGGTGCTGGTGTATTGATGTTGATGAAGCACTGATGCTCCTCTCAAAACACGAACACTAATTGGCACCTTCCTCAGCAATCGGACCAAGACAAGTCTTTCGTCCACGCCGAACTCCGGTGGCAAACCAATGTCTAGATGAGCCAGTTCACTTGCTGTGACTATGTGCTGCTGGAAACCTTCAGAAGACGCAATGTCTTTCCATAAGGGACACTCTTCAGGATTCACCTGATGCCCGCCCAGGGACATCAGCGTCAGGCTTAATAGCGACACCAACCTAACGAATGACGGCTTCCTGGTCGCCATGTGCAGAAACAAATATTGATCAGCACTTCTACCTCCAAATATTAATCGGCATTGCAGTTTACTTCGTCTCCCGAAAAAGCGTTCCGGTCATCAAGAAATCTGTTGGACGCGTTTCTGTCTTTGTGGCACCTTCGTTTGTACATGACACCCCAGAAAGCAGCATGTTTTTTGTGGAACAAGAAAAAAAAAAACTGCGCCTTAATGAAATAAAGTCGCCGTCACTCTCTTGAATTGGCAAAATGTTGATCGCATTTTGTGTTTGAATAATATGCACCATCTTTTTTTTTCGGAAAGATATGTTTTCTCGTTTTTGAGACATCGAGTTGGAGCACGTAATTGAATACCGTACACAGTTCAGAAGTGCGACATTGATTTTTGTCCAGTAGCGTGTCTCATTCAGGCACTCTGCCGAGAAACCTTGATTAATGTTTTGAAATGGAACTCAGGGTGTGTCCCAAAACACGTGAAGCGTTTACCGTAAAGATTGTCTTGATATTTGAAGAGAAAAAATACTAGGAAAACATTGTGTCGCAAATCGCTCTGTAATTGTGTTGCTACGTAAAACTTTTCTCGGTTCGGCGCTAGTGGTGCTAAACAACTAGCTTTAAACCCAGTGTTTACTGGAGTTTGAGGAGTCTGTACTGAGTTTGTGTTACAGTAAGAGTTAGAGCTAGAGTTAGAGTTATACTCAGAGTTAGTTAGAGTTAGATTTAGACTCAAAGTCAGGGTTAGAGTTAGAGTTAGTAATAGTTGGTTTAAGAATTAGTTAGTTATTTAGAGCTAGTATTAGTATTTGTTGAGTTGCCTGTGCCAAATCCACTTTTCGCGTGTCAATTTTCGCGATAAATGTAGCGCGTAAGTTGAATCTATGTGTAGATCACGTGACGTCAACTCCACCGCTAAATCTAACGGGAAAAATGAATTTGCGTATATTTCACGTGACGCCATGGCTCGGGACGTCAATTCTTTCGTTATATATAGTGAGACCTTAAGTCAACTTTCCGAGGGAGAGGAAGCCGGTCAGGATGGTGACGACCGATGATGGTTTTCGCCCGATGGAAGTCCCCCGCGAAGTCGAATAAGAAAAAAAAAACACAAAACGTTGTTCGATCCCGCTGGACACATTACGACGTTGGTAGGTTTATAATGGCCAGTGTGGCCACGTTTATTTTCAAAGCAAAACGCACAGAGCAGTTTTCGAACATGAAAACCTGCATCAGTAACAGTGACATGAGCTGCATGTCGGCACGCTTGCCTACGTGCAGCTCATGTCACTGTTACTGATGCAGGTTTTCTTCGTGCTCGGAACGACTGTCTTGCTCGGCGTGGGCAACGAAACAACAGCAGCCCCGTACCTTCCCGATGCTTCTACGAGTACGACAACTGGATGGCACGTGTCGACGGGCATCAGCGTTATCGGATTGCCAGTCATCACCGATTGCAAGCTCCCCTTGGATAAGCCGTTCGACGATGGCGCTCTGCCGGTCTTCGAGGAACCATGTGACCACAACGGAGGCTATATAGACGCGCGGCACAATGGCTTCGTGGGATTCGGAGCCGGCACGCTTGCCGACATGCAGCTCATGTCACTGTTACTGATGCAGGTTAGTTACTACTACCCTATTCATGTTCGAAAACTGCTCTGTGCGTTTCCGGCTCCTCCCATGCCAAGTGTCGGTACCGATTGTTGTAGGCGAACCAATGTGCAATTGTCGCGCAGACGATTTCGCGTCTTCGCAAACCGCGTACTATACCTGATTATTTTGTTGTTGCTACCCGGGGATATGGAACTAAATCCGGGTCTTCTTACTTCTGTAGAAGTAGATTTACTGAAAAGTCTACAGAGTGGTCAGGCAGACATTATGAAAAAACTTGACTCTATAGAAAACAGGTTCACCAAGCACGAAACTATGACAGCCGAAATAAACAATAAACTTGGAGTCGCAGAGGGACAGGTCGAAGCCGTTAACAAACTGGTATCTGAACAAGCTAATTCTATCAAATATTTAGCCCAACAAGTTAAGGACTTGAAAGACAAGGGCGTAGACTTGGAAAATAGAAGTCGCCGACAAAATCTTGTTTTCTATGGTGTAGAGGACAACCACTCAGAAACGTGGGATCAATCCGAAAAAATAATCGAGCACATTTGTAAAACCAGCCTGGGTATCGAATTGACATCGGTACAAAGGGCGCATCGAATAGGTCGTTACAGTCAAGAGAAAAAAAGGCCGATTATTGTAAATTTTGCGTCTTACAAAGAAAAGCAGGACATTATGTCGAACGCCAAAAAGTTTAAGGGTACAACCAACATCGTAGACCATGACTACTCACCCGAAACTCGAGACATCCACAGGCGACTGTGGGAATTTGCAAAAATTAAAAAGGCAGATAGAGACCATCAGGTAAAATTAAATTTTGACAAACTAATTGTTAATGGTAAGGTGTTCACTTGGGACAAAAAAAAAATAGGAAGTTGTTCCTGTCCCAAAACATTGACGCCCCACTAAAAAAAAAGGAAACAGTTCGTCGTGAATTAGTTGCTATTCTTGTAAATTGCAGAAGTGTAGCAAATAAAGTCGATGAATTTGCAGGATTAATCCCGTCCGTCAAGGCTGATATTGTGCTTGGGACTGAATCTTGGCTGAATCCCTCTATCTGCGATAGTGAAGTATTTCCGAAGGAATTTATTGCTTATCGGAAGGATAGGCCCCGCCTCGGTGGAGGGGTGTTTTTGCTAATTCATTCTTCACTAACGTCGTCTGTACTCGATCTTGGTCACGACGCCGTCGAGTCAATCTGGTGCAGAGTCACTGTAACTAATCATTCTTCATGTGTTGTTGGGGCGTTTTACCGACCACCAAACTCGGATGTCGGCACATTGCAGCAACTGTACGACATTGTCTCCGAGGCCTCTGACCAAACTATTTTGCTAGCGGGAGATTTTAACTTGCCAGACCTTGACTGGCAAGACGGCACTTGTGCAAACAAGGTTAATAGCCGCGTCAACCTTGAAATGAAAAGTATAGCAGACACTTTCGGATTGTTACAGTGCGTGAAAGAGCCAACTCGGGATAATCATATTTTAGATCTCTTTTTCTTTTTTTTTGTAGCTCACCAAATCTCGTTAGTTCGGTAGACGTCATTCCGGGTATTAGTGATCATCTCGCGGTCGTTGCAAGCCTAAACACTAAAACTAATCGGTCGAAGTCGTGTGCATCAAGAAGAGTCTTTTTCTTTGAGAAAGGTGATTACAGTAATATTTCCAGTGAACTTCTTGACCACTTACCTGTTTTTAAGTGTCTCTCTGAGGATTATGATATCCACGCAATATGGTCGGTTTTTAAAAAGAAGTTACTTGAACTTACGAATAAGTATATTCCAAGCATAGATTCGGCAATGCTTAAAAGACGAAAAAAACCATGGGTGACTTCACATGTCCTTGGAATAATTAAAAAACGTAGGCGAGCGTTTGTTAGATTAAAAAAAAAAAAAAGTAACAACCACTTAGAGAAACTTGCTGAGGTAACTCGGGAATACAAGTTGAATATAAAAAGTGCCAAGGAAAATTATTTTTGTAGACTAAATGATAGGATGAAAACGAATTCTAAATTGTTTTGGCAATACTTAAAGGGATGCGGCACCAATTTTGCAGGAATAAACGAAATTACCTACAATCAGCAGGTAATTGTAGATGATGCAGAAAGAGCTTCGTGTCTAAATAATTACTTTCAATCTGTTTTCTTAGCCAAATACGACTGTAATTGTTTTTCACCCGTGAGCACTGTCCCAATAATGTAGCCAGTGGAACTAAGCGTGAGTGGTATTGAAGTGCTACTAAAGAGTATCGACGAAACTAAGGCTAATGGCCCAGATGGCATATCTCCTCGTGTGCTTAAGCACTGTGCTCATCCGATTTCAGTCTATCTTTATTTAATTTATGCGAAGTCGTTATCTGTGGGTCTCTTGCCAAAGGACTGGAAGACCGCTCACATAGTCCCTATTCACAAAAGTGGTTCTAGGAAAGATGTCGAAAACTACAGGCCTATTTCATTAACCTCCATCTCATGCGAGGTCATAGAACATATTTTACACACGGAAATAATAGATCATATGACAAAAAACAATCTATTATCTAAACAACAGCACGGTTTCCATAAAGGCTT